TTCAGTGAGGCTGCTCAGGACAACACCTAACACCATTTTCTGAAGGAGAGGTCAAATATCCTCTTTGCCTTTATCCAGTTTTCAGGAGTTTGCTTGTTCAAAAGATTAGGTGAAATTTCCTCATGGTTATCTCAACTAAGATGTTGACTTTGTGCAAAGTTGTAACAATTAGTTTTTGTGTTTTTTTCCCCCTTGAGGATTTGGTTTAACAAACTTACTGAGCACTGACTCTGCAGCTAGGCACTATTTAAGTGCTTTACATGAATGAACACTTTAGGACTTGAAATAAGCTTGGAAGGTTAGCATTATGCCTGTATACTAAACATTACCTTGCTGTACCATAGAAATTGGCACTATGCCCATTTAATAAATGAGGAAACTAAGGTTGCATAATTTACCTAAAGTTACAAAACTACCAAGTAGCAGATCTGAGATTCAAATCCAGGCAGTTTGGCCTAACAGTCTACATACTTAACCATGATACTATAATGGCTCTTGACTTAATAAATTCACCTCACACACATACATAAAGATCCACTCAATTTGAGTGGAGATTTGGGTTTTGGTGCTGGCTCTTTTTAATAAGTTGTGCGATTTCATGTAAAGACACTTTCCAAATGGGAGGCCATCTACCCCTCCTGTAAAATTAGATGATTGGTTTCAGTCAATGGCCTCCTAACAGTGTGTGAGACGGGATGAGAAATAGAGACGCTGATTAGACACTAATGTCACAAGGATCCTTGGGCCATTCCAAACCAAGACGCTAGGAAAAGAAGTTGTTATGCTAAAAGTTAAGGTGTGAAAACTCTCTGGACAATAACAGCTTGTTTTCTTATGAAGCCCATGAACTCCAAGTAATGTGGCAGCTGGAAGTCCCCTCCAAGTGCATGCAAAGACACTGGTGGGTTTTCCTAGGGAAGGAGTCAAGTCTTTTATTAAACAATCAAAAAAATTCATGACTCCAAAAAAGATGAAGGGCCTATAAAATACTTCTTCAGCTTTATGCTCTTGGAGGAAACTGGCAATCCAACTTTGTAAAGAGCAATGTGACAAAACCTGTATTTTCTGATTAAGAGCCAAGTGTCATGAGACCATGATGAATAAGACATTAAAAGTAATGATAACTGGCTGGGCGCTGTGGCTCACGCCTGTAATCCCAGCTCTTAGGGAGGCAGAGGCGGGAGGACAGCTTGAGCCCAGGAGGTCGAGACCTGCCTGGGCAATATAGCGAGACCCCATTCTTTAAAAAAAAAAAAAAAAGTAATAACCTAATGAACTGGGCACCTACAAGTGCTACTTAAAATTTGCTGTCTTGGACACAGAGCTAAAGCAAAATACTTCATCTGGAACTAGTTTATATCTGATACAGACAATATGTTTTTGTTTTTTTTTTTTTTTTTTTTTTTTT